GGGGGGGGGGGAGAGAGAGAGAGAGAGAGGCGCGCGGGAGGAGGACGGAAGGGGCGACGCACTGGAAGACATCGGTCTGATGCAGGAGGAAGTGCACCCGACGAGCTTGATCCATCTCGCGGAAGGAGTTGAGGCGCTCGTGCAGGGCACGCAGCTCGAGCTTCGAGAGGACCTCGGACCCGGGAGCCCGGCCAGCAAAGGTATCCACGCTGGTGTATGTCAGGGCCGGTGGGTGGAGGACCGCCTGGACATCCGGGTGGTCGAGCACCGACTCGGCCGAGGCGGCCACCAGGCCGGCGACGTCGTCCTCGGCGTCGCTCTCGCCCATGGGCTCCGTCAGCAGGGCCAGGGTGGAGGGATCATCGGCCAGGTCGGGCGATGCCAGCCCCGAGCCGGGGCTGGCGCCGGCCGAAGCTTCCGGCGTCAAAGGGCGTGGCTGGAAGAGGGAGTCGGCCTCGGCCGGGGTGGCGTCGATGGGCATCCGGTCCGGGCCGTCGGTGACGCTGGCCGCGGCCGAAACGACCATCCCGGCCGACGAGGGGGTCGGGCCGGGTGCCGGCTCGACGGAGTTCATGCTTTGTTGCTGGAGGGCGGAGGCCTTTGCAGTCGCGTGGGGGAGGGTATTAGGCGAGGGGGGCGGGCTGCTCTCAGACGCCGCGGTCTTCTCGGCGGACCCGGTCGGAAGGGGCATAGGTCGAGGGGAGGGGAGAAAAAAAGAAGGGAGAAAAGACCGGCGATGAGGATGCGCACCTTCTGCAGGCGGTTGACCACCTGTTCCTTGGCCTGCTCGTCCTCGCCGGTGCTGGTGAAGGCAAACCAGGAGTCAAAGTCCTCGCTGCGAGCGAACAGGTCCGGCAGGATGAAGTTCAGCAGGGCCCACAGCTCGTGGAGGTTATTCTGCAACGGGGTGCCGGTGATGAGCAGCCGCCGGCGGGAGGAGATCTGGCGCATGATGCGCGCCAGAGACGACTTCTCGTTTTTGATCCGGTGAGCCTCATCGAGGATGATGTAGTACCAGGGAATGCGGCGCAGCGGGCCGCGCTCCACGAGGACCATCTCCGGCGAGGTGACACACACCTCGAAGGACCCGGTCAAGAGACGCTCATTGATGAGCTTGGGCTGTGGGATGGTGTGTGTGTGTGTATATGTGTGAGTGTGGGCAGGCAGGCGGGCGGGCGGAGGAGAAGGGCAAATTAGTGCCACGCTTAAAACGAGGGCATGCATGAGGGCAAGGGTGCGGCGGCCGGGGGTGTGGACATACACGATCGTCCTTCGAGCCATGGAGCACGAAGATATTCAGCGACGGGCACCAGCGCTTGAACTCATTCTGCCAATTCTGCAGCGTGGACTTCGGGGCGATGACCAGGTGCGGCCCGCGCACACCGCGCGAGTGTTTCAGGTGCCCAAGCAGGGAGATCGTCTGCAGGGTCTTGCCGAGGCCCATCTCGTCGGCGAGAATGCCGCCAACCGCATGGGCATCCAGACGGGCCATCCACCCCAGCCCATGGAGCTGGTACGGGCGCATCGGCATGTGCTGGATGAAGGACGGCGAGGAGGCATAGACGGCGGCGATTTCGGCGGCCGCAGCGTCGTCAAGGGCCGCGCGCGTGCTGGCCGGCAGGGCAGCGGCCCTGGCACGTCCAGCAGTGGTGGCCCCGGAGGCCGGCTCGGCGAAGGCATCATCCTCATCCTCATCTTCGCCTGGGCCAGCCCGGCGCCGGCCAGCATGCCGGGCATCCGCGGCCCCCGGCGCTGTGGCGACCCCGGCAAAGGCATTCCGACGGAGAATGCGATCGGCATCCGGGATCACGCGCAGCAAGGCGTTCAGGTCGGCCTCCGAGGCGCTTCCCGGCTGGGCAAGGGCAAGAAGGTGCCTGCCGGGGCACGATGGAAGAAGCGCAGGGCAGTGACGGAAAGCAGAGGTATGGTTAGAGGCGGGGGGGGGGG